TTGTGGCTGTCAAAATGCAGCAGGGCAGGACACAAAGGTAGCTACAGATATTTGGAGATCAAAATAGGCTTTTTTTTATTATTATTTGATTCCCAGAAGCTGGGAAATCTCAAAGCTAAAGCCATGTTCAGAGTCCAGCGCTGCTGACTCCAGAGCTTTTCTGAGCCACTGGAAGCTTGTCCAGACACCTGAAGATAAAATCTGAAGTGAAAGGAAAGCTGCTAATTTTATAGCAAGTAGTGCCTCGGAGAAACCCCAGGGGACACAGGCTTAAACGTACCCTCCCTCATGCTCCTCTGCCTCCTCCTGAGTGCCAGGGCAGCAGAGGACGAGGGCTGCTGAGATGCTGGATGTGAGCCCAAGCCAGCACCCAGCTTGGCAAGGAGATGGTGTGGGCTCAGCTGCCCCTTCCCGTGGGCTGTGTGTGCTGGGGACCACTCACTGAGCTGGAGCTTGCCACCACAGGACCTCCAGCTCTGACCAAAAGCAGGATGGTCTCAGCAAATACTCCTCATCCTGCACCCTGGAGGCACCAGCCACCAGAGCCAAATTTGCCATCCAGTTCGTGGGTATGTGATGAAGGACCGAGTCGTGTTTTCTCTCCCACAGAGACAAAGATCCCTCTGAAAATCGCAGCCGACTCATACATGAAGACACTGGCCTCGGTGGAAGATGAAGTGCTCATCCACATCACCGCCATTGCTGAGGTCCAGGGAACAGATGACAAACTGACCAAGGAGACGACGATGAGATTTGAGTACCCTCCCATCACCGTCCAGGTGAGGCAGCCACCACCCCGACTCCTCGGGGATGAGGGTTCAAGCCCTGCTCACTGTAACACCATGGTGGTGGTAGCATTCCCAGGGTGGTCACCCAAGCAGCTACCTCCTGGGATGCTCAGTCCTCAGCCTTTTATTTGGCTATTCAACCTTTATTTGAAGGTTGAGCCAGCCATGACATGAAGATTTTATTGCCCCATCTAAAACAGGGGCTGCTGGAGGGAAGGGGATGGAAGAGGACAGTGTACAGTGACCATCTCTGACCCCACAGCTCTACCTCCTGAAGAAAACATGTGTTGAGGAGCCAGAGAGAAGAGCTGGGGCAGAGCACATGGTGCTGTGGGAGGGTGGAAAGGATATGGAGGTTGTCCCCCACCACACTGGTGGTGAGGAGCAAAGTGGCAGCAGCTCTGGCATCTTTATTATCTCTCTGGTCACCAGCATTTAGGTTTGTTTCTTTCTTTCCTCTCCTGCCAGATGCCAGAAATGGCCAAACTGAACGAGGACTTCGCCTGTTCCTTCATCTTCAAGAACAAGCTGAACGTGCCCCTGGACAACTGCAAGCTGCTGGTGGAGGGCTTGGGCATATTTAAGATGGCAACATTTGATCAGGGGTAAGGAGATGAACCCAGTATGAAATGAGCGTGGCAGGACTCTGCTTTGTTTCTGTTTCCTTTCTGTTTGTTTTTTATTTATTTCCCTTAAAGAAGCAGTTAGGGGATCTGGAGTAAGCCATGTTTGAAACCGTGCTGCTCTTGTGTGCAGTCCATGCAACAGAAAGACCCACACACTGAGAGATAAGGACCCCCACAGAGGTTGGGGTGCTCAGGGCGTTCAGGCACGACAGGGGCTCTCCCCCTGCTCCTGCTGTGATGCCAGCGTGAACATAGCTGCTTCCTTCAGAGCCAGATTTAGTCCTTCAGCAGTAACGGGGAAGTCTGGGGAAGGTCCTCAGAATGGCTGGGACCACCAGCCAGTGCCACTGTGCTGAGCCCCGCTTACTGCATGTTTGTCACAGGAGAAGGGAAACACCCTCTCTGGAGGCACTAATGGGATCTTCTAATGGGCACAAACTTGAACATAAGAAGTTCCATATAAACATGAGGAGGAACTTCTTCACTTTGAGAGTGGCAGAGCCCTGGAAGAGGCTGCCCAGAGAAGTGGTGGAGTCTCCTTCTCTGGAGACATTAAAAACCCACCTGGACACGTTCCTGTGCAACCTGCTCTGGGTGGACCTGCTTTGGCAGGGGGATTGGACTAGATGATCTCCAGAGGTCCCTTCCAACCTCCTATCATTCTGTGACACTATTCTTTCTCTACAACTACACTCTTTATATACTATTAGATAGATAGATACTCTTAGATATAGATACTATTCCCTAAAGCTATTTCTTCAAGTGAAACGGTTTGAAAGTGGCAAATGAGAACCATAACTGATGCTGGGACTATTTGTTTTTTCATTCTCCTTAGGGATGTAAAGCCTGGTAGGATCATCAAGTCTGAAGTAATATGCACTCCAACAAGAGTAGGAGAGAAGAAAATAGTAGCCAAGCTGACCTCGGCCCAGATCAAAGCCATCTCCGTGGAGAAGGCCATCACCGTCAGCGAGTAGGAGCAATTCCTCGGCAGGCTGTACATGGTGGCCTCACTAGACACATACCCCGCTGCATGTCTCAGGCACTTCTTGCCTCCTTGGTTGCTGGATAGTAATCTCAAAGTAAATAGCAAAAATCCCATTAAGTTAAAGGAATTAAACTAACTGATTTAGAGGGCGCGGTTGCAATAGCAAAAATCCCATTAAGTTAAAGGAATTAAACTGATTTAGAGGGTGCGGTTGCGTTGATTGCAGTTAATCGTGATTCAACAAATAAAGGTGGTTAAAATCGACTGTGTGGTTGGGTTGTATGTTATGGTTGGGTGGGGATGGCTCGGAGCCCGTGGGGGGGACATTCCCACCCCACGCTGGGGATTGGAGCTCGAAGGTGCTGGGTTCAGCCAGCGGTGGGTGTGCGCCCGGGGGGGTGTTTCACAGCTGCTTGGCTGTCTGGGATGTGGTCCTCATGGGAGGCCACCTAGGGACCTCACCACACCACAGGCTGCTCAAGAAACTTTTTAAACAACTCCCTCCTGAGTGATTCCCTCTCCCTCCCAGCTAGCTCGCTGGGGAACACACCAGCATACAACTGGTCTTGTCTTCAGACAACAAAAAGAGCAAACTTTGCACAGTCTCCCCAACCACCCTTTGTCACACATCTTCCTTTCCTCCCACCCACTTTCTTTTGGGGGTTTTCAGGCATTTTTTGGAAGAAGTACCATCTCCAGCACCATTACCAGCGCTTCCCTGGAAACTTATAAACACACATTGGACCTTGATGGTGATGTATGGCTGGACCCCTTCCAGCCACAGTCACGTCAAAGGAGAAAACAGCTGTGCACAGCTGGAGCCCACCCAGCCCCACCGCTGAGCTGAACATCTCAGCACCTTCTAAGTCCACCGGTGGCAAGGGATGGCTCTGCTCCACAGCAACGTGGCCAGCAGCAGCAGTCAGGCACTGGGGTTTCCAGCATTTCCGCAAGGAAAGAGGAAATGGAGCCAGCCAGAAGTGTAGGGGTTTATTTAAAAGGCAAATTTTAGGAATATTAGGAAGAATTACCTTACTGAGAGGGTGGTCAGGCACTGGAACATTCTGCCCAGGGAGGTGGTGGAGTCGCCATCCCTGGAGGTATTTAAGAAACGCGTAGACATGGCACTTCAGGGCATGCTCTAGTGCCCGAGATTGTTGGTTTGTGCCTGTTTGTGGGTGTTTGGTTTTTTTGGTTTTTGGGGTTTTTTTTTGTGGTTGGACTTGATCATCTCAAAGGTCCCTTCCAGCCATGAAGATTTCATGACTCTGTGAAACGCTGAAGCATTAGGGCTGTAGAGTGGAAAAAAGAAATGGCATCCCACCCCACGCTGGGGATTGGAGCTCGAAGGTGCTGGGTTCAGCCAGCGGTGGGTGTGCACCCGGGGGGGTGTTTCACAGCTGCTTGGCTGTCTGGGATGTGGTCCTCATGGGAGGCCACCTAGGGACCTCACCACACCACAGGCTGCTCAAGAAACTTTTTAAACAACTCCCTCCTGAGTGATTCCCTCTCCCTCCCAGCTAGCTCGCTGGGGAACACACCAGCATACAACTGGTCTTGTCTTCAGACAACAAAAAGAGCAAACTTTGCACAGTCTCCCCAACCACCCTTTGTCACACATCTTCCTTTCCTCCCACCCACTTTCTTTTGGGGGTTTTCAGGCATTTTTTGGAAGAAGTACCATCTCCAGCACCATTACCAGCGCTTCCCTGGAAACTTATAAACACACATTGGACCTTGATGGTGATGTATGGCTGGACCCCTTCCAGCCACAGTCACGTCAAAGGAGAAAACAGCTGTGCACAGCTGGAGCCCACCCAGCCCCACCGCTGAGCTGAACATCTCAGCACCTTCTAAGTCCACCGGTGGCAAGGGATGGCTCTGCTCCACAGCAACGTGGCCAGCAGCAGCAGTCAGGCACTGGGGTTTCCAGCATTTCCGCAAGGAAAGAGGAAATGGAGCCAGCCAGAAGTGTAGGGGTTTATTTAAAAGGCAAATTTTAGTAATATTAGGAAGAATTACCTTACTGAGAGGGTGGTCAGGCACTGGAACATTCTGCCCAGGGAGGTGGTGGAGTCGCCATCCCTGGAGGTATTTAAGAAACGCGTAGACATGGCACTTCAGGGCATGCTCTAGTGCCCGAGATTGTTGGTTTGTGCCTGTTTGTGGGTGTTTGGTTTTTTTGGTTTTTGGGGTTTTTTTTTGTGGTTGGACTTGATCATCTCAAAGGTCCCTTCCAGCCATGAAGATTTCATGACTCTGTGAAACGCTGAAGCATTAGGGCTGTAGAGTGGAAAAAAGAAATGGCAACCACACCTGGTTATGTGCCAGCACATGAAAGAGGGAGGACAAAAAGAGCTTTTGACCACTCGCTCACATTTTAAAGATTTGGGGAACCCCTCCAGCGGAGCACCCAGCCGGCTGTTGGGCCACTGCCCTGGGCCCCCACCACCCCCTGCGCTGGGTCCCCGCAAGGACCCAGCAGGTCCTTGATGGTGGCAGGACCAGGAGCGGGAGCCCCTCTCCTCAGGCAGAGCAGGAGCAGGATCCACACATGGCGACCGACCGCAGGGAAGGGAGGAGCAGGCAGCCCTTGGCGGATGGAAAAAATTAGTTCTTTAATAAGTACAATAGCAACCAGAGGCGTAAAAATGAGTTACAAACAGCAAAATATATATATTTTTTCAAGAGATGTAAGTTCTTTACTTGCATAGAAAACCCGCTGTAGAAGACGCCGGACAAGAAGTCCAAGAACGCTTTTCACATCTGCCACCACCCTGTCCATCAGGTATTACCACCTCACGCCCGAGCGGTGATAGGACCTCAAGAGGGTGGCAGCCCACCCAACGCTCTCGAGGAGCACCCTCCCTGGGGCCCGGCGAGCCGGCCGGGACCTTAGCAGCATGGCCTGAAGATGAAGGCACAATTCAACGAGGGGCAAGGAGCACAAGGAGAGGAGGGAAGGGAAGGAAAAGGGTGGATTTGGTTTCAATTTCATGAAAATCCCATTTGGTCTCAAGCTAGCAGGTAGTCATTAAACGAAGTCATAAAAGGAGGTTTATGCTAGAGCTGTGGATAAAACAAGTTTTTCCGACTCATGAGGACTTTTGCAACTTCTGATGGTTGCTACGCTACACTGAGACAGGGAGGAGATACACTGAGGGGTGGTGGGACTTGGGGGAGGAAGAAGAAGAGGGGATGAAGGAGACTGACAGCCAAGACGCACCAGCAGAACCAGTTTGCTGAACGTGGGACATCAGCCCAGAAGGACTTGAGGGGCACCAGAGCCAGGGCTGGGCTGGCTGCCCATGGCTCTGTGTAGGGCACAAGGACATGTCCCCATGTCTCACTTGGACCATAACTGCACTGGAGAAGGAGGGGAAAGGGCTGTTCTGGCTCTCACTCCCCCTCTTCACACTGCTTTTCTCTTTCAATTATTTAAAAAAAAAAAAGGCCCAGAGATGCCAGCACCTGAGGAACAACATGAGAGGTGGGAAACAGAAGCAAAGGACTCCTGTCCTCCTGACGAGCTGAACCAGGTTTGAGAGTAGAGGATGTAATATGCTGCCTCCATCCACACCTAATCGAAGCCACATTCAGTGGGGGGTCCACGTCCCGAGAAGCATCACCAAAACCCAGCGTGAGGGGGTCTCTCCTGAGCTGATGCCCACACGCACTCACCTTAAGGTGATTTTCAACCGATCACTGGTTTCTCCCCCCAGGACCCTGTAGCACCATTCCCACTCCGCAGACACGGCACCGGAGATTGGGACATTAACTGGATGCAGAGGCCAAAATTAGAAAACATGAGCTAAAAAGGGCACTTTTACCTCTCCTCCTCCAACATCCTTACTGCTCCCTATAGGAAATCCCTTATAGATCTGCATATGCCCCTGATGTCCCTTTCCTGTGGGACACCAACAGAGAAGAACATAGGCCGGTACAGAAGCAGGAGAGCTTCTTCCCTCCCCACCACACTGCTGCACAGGGCAAAGACATTCAAAACCTCATGTCTAAATGACGTGAGAGGACACCTCAATTCCTCCCAAATGCAGGGTATTTCCCTTTACCTAAAACATTTTTATAAACACCAAGTTCTTCATGGTGTTTTTTTCTCCTAAATCTATGTCTCATTGACAAAGTGGAAACATCTAGAAGGGATAGGGGATGGGACAACTGTTTGGAAATATCCCCTGGGTTTTAGCCAAGCTGTGCTCCTAACAGTCACAGCACTTGGTTTGTTCCCAGTCTCTTTGCCAGAAAAAAGGGATTGCTGTGGCAGAGCACAAGGTCAGGAGAGAATCTCATCCCTCCACAGTAGCCCTGAACGTCACGCCATTAATACTTATTAAGATGCTTTTTTGGGGTGGAAAAAGAAAAGAAAAAAAATAATCTTGCACAAATTCCATTTGGTATTGCTTCAATAAATAATAAAAACTTCATCTAGGTCTTCCACAATACCATGCTTTCATCCCCCCAAACTCCCTTCTCATACTTTCAAGAGGAAGCAATTATCTTTGGTCCACGTTACAGGGGAGGGGGGGGGGATGAAGTCAGGCACGTCCTGTGGGGGAAAACTAGGAGCACGTCTCAAATAATCTGCAAAATTTACTGACAATTAAGCTAAGGGAGATGACAAGAATAAAAAAAAACAAAACAATAACCCACAATTGAAAACCAGTTTAAATTAAAAGTACACTAATTGGCTCCTGGAGCACGCCAAGTGTTTGCAGTGTGTATGACTGCGGTGGGTAGTGTCACCTCCGCATGACCTTGCCGGAGCCATTGCCACCTCCAGTGACACCTTCCTCAAGCGATGTGGGTTCCTTCTACGTGCCCACCAACGGTCACCAGGAGCTGGCCCGCAGAGCCAGCGTAAGGAAACCCCGCGTGATGCCAAGTACCAGTAGGACAGCGTTAAACGCCAGTAAGATTAAGAAGCAACATTCATCCTCTGCTAACTCTGGCTATCGAGGATAAACCAAAATAAAAAGACAGACATCTAAATTAGACAAGCTGAACGGAGAGAGCCAGTACCTCCACCAGGGTGCTCACTCCTCTCTCTTGGCTTTGCTGGTGGAAGGAACCCAGCTGCCTCCTTTCTGGGCTACAAAGTTCAGCCAGGCAGCTCTTGGTCCATGTCCTAGGTGGTAACGAACCACAGACCTTGGGCAAAAGCTTCCCCCACCAGCAGCTCAGCAACCTGGCCAATACTTGCCTATTCTCAGCTGTGCCAGCCACAGGAGAACGTTCCCACCGGGCCGGCACCACCACCATCCCACCGACGCCGCTCAGCCAAGCACCACCGATCTTGGACGGCCTCCCAAGCACAGAGGGTTAACGTCTACCCCTGGAGATGTTTGGGTGCCCAAAGGAATTGCAACCAGGGCAAGCTGGCCCATCTGCTGCACCCGCAGCCTGGTGTCCCACCTCTGCTGAGACGTGAGCACCAGCAGTTTTCATAACCCAGAGGCAACATCCGTGGGATGAGTTAAAAAAGACACTTTTTCAACAAAACCCTTAGAGCTGGGCTAGTCTGGCCATTACACGGGGCTTATTTACCCCTCCAAAAGGCAGTAAGAACAAGAGATTACCCAGACTCCTTCCAACTGCATCATTTCTGGGAGCTGGGACCGATCTATGGGACAATTATAAACTTTCCTTAAAGTCCAAGTGAGAAAAGCTCAATAAAGCAGTTGTTGCAGGTCTGAAAAGGAGCTTATGAATCTCATCACTTCTAAAGCTTTCTCTGGAGATTTGCATTGCTTCTGCCAGTGCTGTACCTGCCTTCCGGATAAATACTCCCCAACGTTTTAATGCACCAAAAGTATGTTAAAAACCAACCTCCAGCTGAAAAGTAGTTATTAAAAAGAAAAAACAAAAAACAAAACCACCTGAAAACCTCTCTTGATGCCCTTCGCTTACTCATTTAACACTTGGACGGCAACATCTCGAGCGAGGAACTGCTCGATTTCTTCTTGGGTCATTATTGCAGATGCCGGAGCCGCTGGCACCGCTTCGGCCGGCCCCGGGCTCTCGCAGCTCAGGTTTGAAAAGGGGTTGAACCAACCCAAGGAGAAAGCGCCACCGAACGCCAGCTTCATGCCTTCCCAGCCGCTGATCTTCACCCAGGTTGGCTTCTGGTTTTTAAGACGCTCAATACCCTGCAAGAAGAGAAGAGTTTTTGGTCGTCTCACGTTTTATCGCGGGTAAAACCGCTGTACCACCTGCAAAGCCACCCATCTACAGCCAGGGTGTTGTTTGGGTTTTAATTAACAATGAAGACAGACATCCTACGTCACTGAGAGCTTCATCCCCAAATTAAACAACAAAACCCCAAAACAAGACCAAGCACGTGGACAATCTGAATCTCGGTGACTGACTTCGGTACCAGTCACTATTGATTTTTATGGTAGACATAGCTTCTAAAAAGCCATCCCTTTCAGAAAGTTGGATCTCTTCTCCCAGTGCTTTTTGAATCCCTCCAAGGAGTAACAAAACACAATTACAACTCAAAATTTCACCTTATTCGGGGCGCTTGTACAATAGTTCAGATACGGGCAAAATAACTGCAACTTTTTCCAGTGATCATTAATTTACTACAGCCATACCCAGGCTTGTCACCAGTAGCTGACATATAAGAACAAGCTCACTCCTGCGTCAATGAAGAGCAAATATTTAAGAAGACAGTTTCCATTTAACAAATCGTCAAAGACAAATCCCAACGCGAGCCGGATACCCGCAGCAACGTGACGAAATCCATCAAGGTGGAAGTGGAGGCTTCAAAGCAGGACCAGAGCCTTGGTCGGGTGATATTCTGATTCATCCTCCCTCCAACAACATCACTTTCAGTAGAGTAAACAATTTAATTGTATTTAAATAACAGGTCCTTCAAATTCCGGCAGTGAAATTATTTTTCTGGTAACCTTCATGTAGAAACAAGAAACTAAGAATTTCTTTTTTTTTTAAGGGTACTACTATGTAAAATAGGGCACAATTTTTTATACCCATAGTCTATACCATGTGAGTCAGATCCATAGCTGTGTATGTGCTCATGATGCGAGTGACCAGGTAGAAACTCTGTTCTTAAGAGAAACAAGGACACTGGGAACAAGTTTTGAGACCACCGAGGAAAGGAAAACCGAGCAAATTCAGTCAAAGCCATTTAAAAGAGCGGGTTGTTTTTTTTCATCCAACAGCTGGATAAAAAAATACACTTGTCATGTTCTAATTCCAAAGATTTTCCCTTTGGAATTAGACACAAAAACAGGCAACAGCTGAGCGGCACCACAGCTGCACTCCCAATTAGCCTTATAAATGACACCACGTTTTAATAGAGCAGCAGCTTGGTTTTGCAATCCCATAGCGTCAGCACGAGCAGGCCCGGAGGAAAACACACCACAGACATAAGAACCACGCGCAGAGCTTCATTCATGCTCCCGCTTCCCCTTGCTGGCTTAGGAGAAATTCCAGCAGGGAATTTCAGGAATTCCAGGAAGAAATAACGCAACCGGAATCTTCAGGGTTGCAATTTCGGCAGAAAAATTCAAGCCCTGAAGCGCAAAGGTGCCTCCTGCGTCCTCAAGGAGGGGCAGGGCCTCCCTTTGCTCCCAAACTTGCAAATGCCCCGTTTCGACTGCTCCAGGGAAAATTCCTGGCAGGCTCCAGCCCCACCTTGGGACAAGGCAGCATTTCAACCCTTTCCCCAGCAGCACAAGCTTTAATCCTGTTTTCCATCCCGCGCCTCAGCAGTTCACAGAATCACAGAATCGCCTGGGTCGGAAGGGGCCTTTCAGATCATCTAGTCCAACCATAAAAAAAAAACAAACCACCAAAAAACCCCCAAAAAATCCACACACAACCCCAACACTAAACCATATTCCTGAGCACCAGGTCAATTCATCTTTTGAACACCTTCAGGGATGGTGCTTCAACCAATGCCCTGGGCAGTCCAGTCCAATGCCTGATAACACTTTCCGTGAAGAAATTTGTCCTGATCTCCAACCTGAACCTCCCCTGGTGCAACTTGAGGCCATTTCCTCTTGTCCCATCACCTGGGACTTGGGAGAAGAGACTGACCCCCATCTCTCTACACCCTCCTTTCAGGGAGTTGGAGAGAGCGATAAGGTCTCCCCTCAGCCTCCTTTTCTCCAGGCTGAACCCCCCCAGCTCCCTCAGCCTCTCCTCAACAGACTTCTCCAGACCCCTCACCAGCTCCATTGCCCTTCTCTGGACCCGCTCCAGCCCCTAAATGTCTTTTTTGTGGTGAGGGGCCCAGAACTGGACACACAAGTTTGATCCATGCCGCCACCTAAACCAGGAATAAGGATCTTGAAAACACTTCTGGGCAGCAAACCCTCTCTTCCCTCCCCGAAAAGCATCCTTCACCTGCCCTGAGCAGTATCTGCCGCGCAAGGCGACGAGCAAGGTCAGGCTGAGGCTGAGCTAATGCCGGATTAGGGAGCAGTTAATCAGAGCAGGCAGGGCCATACTTTCTCTTCCCCCAGCCCGACCTCACATAATCCCTTCAGGGCACATATTGAAAATAAGAAGAAGTTTAAAAAAAAAATCGCATCCTGGCCTAATTTTGGGCTGCCTGCCCCACAGTCAGGAAGGCGTGAGGTTTTACCCTAAAAAAAATTAAAAAAAAAAAAAAATTAAAGGGGAAGGAAGGAATGGCACAACTGTTGAAGACATTTCATTACTGTTTAATGAAACTTTTTTTAAAAAAAAAAATATATATATTTACCCCAAATGTCTCACCATTATTTTAGAAAGTGAGAATTTTGTATCTCCAATTAAACTAACAGCTGATTATCTTTCCTATCCTGCAGTTACTTCACTTTTTTTAAAAAAAGAAAAAACCAAAGGGATGCTGGGCTGCGTGGCTTGATCTGGAAGCCATCTGCAGGACAGCTCTTGCACGTTAGAAGAAAAGCATTAACTTCTTTTAATACACTTTTAAAATCCAAATGGAAAGAACAAACCGAAGAGGCAAGTATTGTAACGATTCCTCCATGAAGGGGAAGTGGACACACGAAGTCGTGATCAAGGCAGACTTTCCCTGCAGCAGATCCCTGAACTTTGGAGCTTTGGAGCATCACAAACACCCCACCTCTAATGGAGTTTGTCCTTCCACTTCCCTTAGCCAGGCTAAACCAGAAGTAGCACCCGAAATCAGGTCGTTCTGCCCAAGAAAATACTTTCCACAAGCAAACTGGTGACATCTGCCTTTCTCATACTGACTCACATTTAGGATAACTCAAATTGCATCAAATTGCACCCCAAGCTGTGCAGTGCAATTAAAACTGAGGACCCTTGGCCACCGAGACACGACAGATACCAATGGACATTTCCAGGCTGTGGATGACGCCTCATTCCAAACAAGCACAGTTCGACTGAAAATATCAACACTGCATAACGCTGTTTAACAATCTACATTTCTTTGAAACAAGAAAAATTGAGCAATCACACCTTTTTTCACAATTGGTCAAAATGCTAGAACAAGGCACCCAGTCTTCCCCCCAAAATCACAGTGAATAAAGGTAATTAAAATAATCCAAAAAAGGAAAAGCGCACCAGGAGGTTACAATCAAAACAATTTTAACAGCAGGGAACCGCACAGAGAGATGCACTCATTTGTTAATTGCCTAGATGACTAAAGCCTCTCCCCACAATACATTGGATTTTGCATCGAGACAGTTTTAGGGCCAGGTTCTCCACCAGTTCAAGTCACCACCTGCACACGTCTCTCCTGGCCAAAGATCCAGCCCTGAGCTAGTAAGCTGGGAGCATTCTCCGAAAAATACCACTGCACGCTAAAATCAGAGCCACCTATTTATTTACAATAGCCTTCCCACTATCAGCAGTATCAGCACTATTAAAACAAACCCCAAACTTTTCTTCGTTAAGGAAACGGCTTCACAAAAGCCACGTTTCCTTCACGGATCCTTCCCACAAGCGCGGTCCCGCAGGAGAGAACACGACGTGCCCCTCACCCCGAGCAAGGAGGGCTGCAGAAACCCTGCTTTACACAGCACTGCACTGACAGCCTCTCCCAAAGAGATGCAGTGACACCACTGCACTGATTAACACCATATTTATTACCCATTAGTTCATTTTGAAACCTAAAAGGCAAACGCTCAATTAACCTTTACATGACTGCTTCTCTATCACAGCGAAAGTTCGGGAAACGGCCGCGGCCTTTCCCGACGCTTAAAGTGAAGAGAGAAAAATAATAACAGCAAACAGGTTTTTGGAAAAGTTTTATTGCATTTGTTTTCCATGTGGAAGCATTGACAGATTGAAAAGATGCAGCATTCACATTACTTCCAAAGTGAGACATCCATTAAATTTCTCCTTCTCTGATTTCCCTCCCTTCCCCCATGGCTTTAAAGTAGTCTAAACAGGTCACTTCCCACCCACCCCCCCTCCAAAAAAAACCAAAACCAAAAAAACCCCAAACATTTTATTTTAAACCAAGGAAATAAAAGATTCCTTGGAACTCATGGACACAGCTGATTTGTGTTTTTCCTTTGTTTGCAATCACCTGATGAGCCCATGGGAGTCATGATCCAAAAGTATAATAAAAATCCTGCTCGAACACAAGATGTCAGTTGTGGTTATGAATGGTTGAGCTCTACCCGTTTTTTGGAATGCCGTCTGTCCCTCCCACCTTCATCACCACACAGTTCACAACAGTAGGCATGCTCCTCACCATCAGTATTTCCCAATTTAAAATACTTACACATATACGCGTGTGTGTGTGTTTTTATACACACACACACGTATGCGTTAATATGAGGAAGGATTTACAAAGCTCTACCCAGGGCAAGGCTAAGGATATAGAATGAATCACCCTGGTACACCTACACATCCCATCAACATTAGCCTTCACAGTAATCCGGGCATTCATGTCAGTTTTCCACGTTTAACACTGTTTAGCAGGCGTTGCTCTAACAAGTCATTTACCAAGACAAACACACACAAAACGAGATGATTCTGCTACTCTAAACACCTCAAAATTAGCTTGCTTTCTTTCCTGCGAGTGTAAGGCATTTAATAATCCAAGGAGTCTTCTAAATCTGCCAGAGTTACCCTAAGAGGGCAGCCGTTTCCTGCGCACAAGGGAGGGAACAGACAAAATAATGCCAGAAAAGACGGAATCAGTTCTGTATCTGGAAGGAAAAAGGAGGGTGGGGTGGGAATTGGCGTTGGCAACATTTAAGTACTTTAATTGTATGCGATCACCAGGTCAACTGGCTCTCTTGCTGTGTTGCGTTCTTGTCTTGCACCTTTTGGTAAGTGAAATGTTTGCTTCCCCGCTCAGGTTCGCTTATGAAAGAGCAATGTGTTCCTTCAGGAAGTCCAAAGGTGTAGGGCTGTGTAGGGCTGTTGGCACTCCTATGTCTTCCACAGAGCTCATCACAGTCAGGAGACAGCATGAGAATCTACTCAGAAGAGGTGGGTCACAAAGGAGAAAGAGGATCCCCTTCACATTAGTTATGCCATACAGAAAGCAGAGAGGAACAAAGGCCAGTAAAGTTAACAAGATTAAAAAAAAATAGAAATACAAAAAAAAAAGAAAAAAAAAAAAGAAAAGCAGCAGCAGTTTCAGCCAGAGATACAGAATTATCTAAAATTGTGGAATACAGGGCTTTTTTTTCTCTGCAATTATCAGCCATTTAATAAACATAAAAAAAAGTTTGTTTTGCTTTTTGTTTTAAACATTCATGGAAAATTTATAACAGTAGTGCTGTAATATGTTTCTATTTTAGTGGAAATGCTGGTCAAGAATTCCTCAGACCACATACTGGTACGGGTCTGCTTTTCCTTGGTCTGGTGTTGCGAATGGGCTAAGCCATGCTATAGAGAACGGATGGCCAAATACTGCTTTCATGTTCATCCATTTTGTTTTTTTAGCCCATCTTCTCTCTTCCTTTTTCAACTGTTCTATTCCCTGAAAACAGAAATATCACATTTTCAGTCAAGCACTTCAGATTTCATACTTCTGGATTTAGGGAAAGGTCTACTCTCTGCTACTCCTGATCCAAAGGATGGAGTAAGAAAATAAAAATGCATTTGTGCATCTATACTCTCCTTCCTCTCCTTCTCATTGTTTTATACTAAAAAATTATTAAGGATAGAAAGTATTCTTTGGAAATAAAATTACTTTCATTTCCTTCAGTCCTAAATATTCCATAAACATTTCAAGACCTGCCTTCCAATGGCCTCTGATGTCAATTAAAAAAACCCCCACCACCTAAAGCCAAACAAAAAGTATGTGCTTTAGTGGCTGAAAGCACTATGTGCTAACCGGGTGGAAAGTTTTAGGAGGAAACTGTTATAAGCTTGCAGACAAAAAAACCCAAACCCACAAACCCAAAGATAATCTCCGTAATGCTCCCAGATTCACCAAGCAAGTTCAGGAAGTGCCCATGGCTCAGTGGAGCTGAGTCTACCTGGTGCCTCCTTCACGTTTTCATTAGAATCTCTGCTAAAACATGCACGGGCTTGACAGCAGGGAGAAAGGGTTAAATGAGAGCCCGATTTGAGAGAAATCATTGGCATTGTTTAGTAGAGGTTAGAGGGAGAACAAAAACGAGCCATCGAGCAATCAGTTGAAACATTCACTAGTCAATCATTTAAAAAAAATAAATAAATTAATTAAATTATCTGTGTTGAGTCTGAAACCCACAAAGTGAATTTGGTCTTGCAAGGAAAGCTTCGCCCGGCTGCCACAGAGGCAAACTGAAGGAGTGCAGTCACTGGAGAGCATTACTTTTCCACAGGCAGCAGCAGCAGGCAGATCACTCTGTACTTTAACTCCAGATCTTTTGCAAGGTAAGCTTCTCCTGACCTACACGTCTCCCCCCGTGCCACCGATTAATGCACTGTAATGCACCTGTGTGTCTCAAATTACTGGTTCTGGGAGCTCTGCAGAAAACAACGTGGGTCACCTGCAAGGGTTGTGATGATGCCAGGCAAATGTCACCTCTAGAGACGGCAGCAAAATACTAGGGTTCTGGGTCCCTTTAGGCAGAAAGGAACCATCCTGGTGGGACACCGTCCACAAGACGGAGAATTAGATCTCCCAGGGACTGGAAGAAGAAGGTGAGAAAGGGCAAGACACAGCCCTGCCTCTAAAATGTGAAGTAAGACATCGCATGAGACCACACCAGGATCCCCGTGCCACCGATTAATGCACTGTAATGCACCTGTGTGTCTCAAATTACTGGTTCTGGGAGCTCTGCAGAAAACAACGTGGGTCACCTGCAAGGGTTGTGATGATGCCAGGCAAATGTCACCTCTAGAGACGGCAGCAAAATACTAGGGTTCTGGGTCCCTTTAGGCAGAAAGGAACCGTCCTGGTGGGACACCGTCCACAAGACGGAGAATTAGATCTTCCAGGGACTGGAAGAAGAAGGTGAGAAAGGGCAAGACACAGCCCCACCTCTAAAATGTGAAGTAAAACATTGCATGAGACCACACCAGGAGGAACTTCATCTGGAAATATTCCTCTGCTCGAAACACATTGCCTGCCAGACCCAGGTAGCTCAACGCTAGCAAATCAGCGAGACCTTCCGCAGAACAAAATCCTTATGGGTACATATTAAAAAAAGAAAACAAAAACGAAACCCCACGACCCAACATGTGGAGACCAAATTTCATTTTTTTATTTTAGATTGTGACATTGTTCCTTTAACATCTACGAGTTACCAGAATTTGAATGGGAAGGGAAAAATCAGGGGACTTATTTGGGTGCCCAGCTGTAAATTCTTGACACGTTTCAAAGACTGAGAAATTCAGATGATGATTTCACAGGCAGCATTGCTAATTTACGCAAGCTCGGCAGGATCTTGTTGTTCTGTATGACACTGTACTTCTTCCTGGGGCTTTCCCCAGCAGAAAGAACAGCTGAAGTCTTCCTCTGAACACAGAAGAGCCACAGTGTGAACATCAGCCTCTTGCAGAAGCCAAGTATTTAAAAAAAAAAAAAAAAATAGTACTGCAAAAAAGACTTGGGAGTGATGGGCTCTTAGAGCCACTCATAGCTCTCCAAAGGCAGCAAAAATACCTATTCTAGCTTCAACTGGCCATGGGCAAACACGTGAAGGGGAGAGAAAACCAAAGGAGATGGAGGAAGAAATAAGAATTGTCACTCTTTTAACACTATCCCTTCTCTTCAACCACTCCATTTAATTCAGACATCTGAGCGTGCTTGGTGAAGGCCGGCAGTATTCACGGAACTTCCCCAGGAGCCACCAGCTTCATCTTTACAGAAGTGGGCAAATGCAGGGATGTACGATGGACTGCAACACTCCTATGTAACTTCTACTACACCACCTTTGAGTTGGGAGGACATGGTGCCTTTGCAGCAGACTGTACCCAGCAGGTTTCCATGACCATCTTTACAGAAGTGGGCAAATGCAGGGATGTACGATGGACTGCAACACTCCTATGTAACTTCTACTACCAGCAGGTTTCCATGCCCCTCCCCCCCCTCCTCTTTTCCCCCCCCCGCCTCTGGCAGGAGTTTTTGAACTGTTTAACACGCAGCTAAAACTGGAAATCTTCTAGACTAAGAGAAGCATGTGTATGTGTGTGTGTAAACCATGACCCTTGGGCACACAGAGCTGAACTTCAGACAATACCAAAGTAAAAAGCACTTCATTAAAGGATAAAAGTTCTCAAATCCATAGGGACAAATACTCTGTAGAGAGTAATCCCAGCTCCCAATGCCTACTTTATCAGAGGTACTGCCAACGCAGCATCCCAGCTAACACACCGGTGTCCTCTACTTCTCATAAATAACCTTCAGAGAGCACAACCCAGTGCTGTGCTAGCTCAGTTTGGTGGATCTTTCCTCAAAGGGTACACACACATCAACTCCCCGTGCAAGGAAGGTAAAGCCCTGCAGCCCTTTGCTGTTCCTACAACCGGCGAGAGCCACGGGGTGAAGGAGAGAGCGTGCGAGACACCCACCGTTTCGTCGGTGCAGATGGAGTGTACTTGGGTCCCAAACATAACAGAGGTGAAGATGAGGAAGAGGAGAGCCTCGAAACACAGGAGGATGAGCAGAATCACTGTGGTTGGCGGAGAGAAGGAACTGCATTCTGTGAAGACAAAACAACCCAGTTGGAAGGGGAGAGATGGGGTAACGCAGCAGCTGCAAAACACCTGCTAAGCCACGAGTTTTTCCACACTCAAACTGTCAAAATGAATTGCACCATCATCATTCTCAAAAAGTTGCTAAAAAAGCAAAACTAAAAAAAAAAAATTAACCCTGCAACACTTCAAGAACGCAGTGGGAACACCACTTAGGTGTTTCCTCAAGACACTGGCTAAGACTCCACTCCACTCCATTTAACCCATAGTTTCTCTCTTAAACCTTAATCTTAACATATTTTTCAACAGTGATAAAGCCCCATTAGAAATCTCAAGGCAGTGCTCAGGACACAAGGATAATTATTTCTGTAGCACCAACATAAAACCAGAGCATGTTTCCTTTCATAACTGCTCTAAGTCATAACTTTAAATAAGAATTTGGCTTAATCTGCCCTTTTTCTCACACTCTATAGTGCAAACTCAGGCAAGAGCTGAAAAAAATCTGAGAAGGTTACTATAAAAGAGAAGCAGAAAAAGAAAGGGGGAGGAAAACATTACAGGGCAAAAATCATAGTGTCAAGTTGGGTGTTGTAAACGTCAGAACATCTTCAGATTTTTCTGAAATCCGAGAACAAATATCACCCCCAAATCCCTATTTCTCTCATGAGATGTTAAGCTTTAACAGATACACCACAATCAGGGGCTAAGACAACCAGCACAAATCCAAGGCAGCTGGAAAACAAGATGCACCTCAACCTGGTCCAGGTGGGAAGGTGCTTCCCTCCCAGACACAGGCTCTGAGAAAGCAGGAAAAGGGAACTCTGTCTTTTGATGCATCGTTCCCCTGTGGCCCTGGCCGCTGTAGTCAAATCCAGATCTTCCCAGTAAGCCCACTGTAGTCAAATCCAGAACTTCCCAGTGACAGCTGGCAGCTCTTTGGTGAAGTTTTGAACTGCAGAACGACCTTGTCAAACTCTACGTGTACTTTACTACGTGTAAACCCATCCTCTGCAGTGTTACAAACTAAACCAGGTCATTATGTTGAATGACACAACTGAAATTCCAAGAAAAACAAAGCTAATGCTCTTCCAAAAAAACCCCACAAGCAGCACATAGATCTGCACACACATTTTTTGACAGCTTGCTGTTTGACTCAGCATTACCTAGAGGATTTCCTATATCTATTTGTTTAAAAACACATCTCAACTGGCTGAAAATGTACTCATTGGCTGCTACAAAGCGAGGGCTGGATTTTTTTTTGTTTGGTTCGTTGGTTGTTTTGGAATGATTTATTTTTTTTTTTATGGAAAGGAATTGTTTGTTCTTGTGAGGGTGGATTTTTGGATCTGAGTTAGCATGTTTTCCTGGCAGTCTTGGAAGAATGATTCACATTACCCTTTTTAAAAAAAGCATACATGTTCTTCTTATCTTGTGTTGGCATTCTGGAAATCAGTGCTGCGTTCACGTCAACAGCAGATTATCACACACATACTATCTAGGTGTCTCTTTACATTTTAGCTTCTCCCTAGGCAGTATCAGGCTTAAGTTGATACAGGACTTTTCAGGGCAGAGATCCCAGCAGGTCACAAAGAATTATGAAGTTCTAGGATTGATCATAAAAATAAAAAAAATAGAGATAGCACAGCAGAACCCTGATAGCATCCTTCTGAAACTAGCATAAAAGGGGTTGCCTTACAAGCAAACTACGTTATAAGGTCTTATTCATAGCCTACTCTGGTATTTTAATTAGATACTTTGTTAGTACTCACTTGTCCAGTCTTCTTCAAAGCAATACAAGAAGTGAAATCCCACCATGATTAGAGCGTGCAGTGAAATCAGTGCTATATACATCTGAAAAATAAAGGATGTAATACATTTATCAGGTAAGTTTAAAGACCAAAATGCTAAATCTTCCAAACACTTTAAAGAAAAGCGTTAAGACTTCAAAAAAAAAAACAACAAACCCACCAAACAAGTAACAAACCACTCCAAAAGCCACCAAGCCCTCCCAGGCCCCCTGAACAAGCACCTTGAAGTGGGCAAATACCAAGACTACACAGACTCATTCTGGCCTAAGAGCTCTGAGTCCAGAGGAGGGAGACTGTTTAATTCAAAGCCAGCTGGACCCAAAATCCAGCCTCCTGCATGGGTTACTGTCCTGATCTCTGCTGGATACAGCACAACTTTGAGACAGCAGCAGCCCTGAGGTATCATGGTGTCAAAGCTCACATCCTTGCTCTTGAGAGCACTATAGCTTCCCGGAGAAACAACAGCTAATTTGTTTTAGCCACAAAAAGCACTTTATCTATTTTCTAGCATGAGTTTCAGAAAAAAAATGATTTATTTTGTTTTTTAATAAGGATTTTTCCCCGAGGCAGACACTGGCATGGAAAGTATCTATCAAGCTTTAATACTTTGTACTTAATCCCTTTTGTTTTCCATTAGGTCTTAGCTTTGTAATGAAAAGCTTTAAACTCTAGGCCCCGCTAGACATACAGTACGATTTTCCAAGACAGAGCTAAAAAGATGACTCTCCTCAACCTACAGACTCTGACAAAGGTCAGCAGATACTGGAACTGAGAGATTTTGTTCCAACAAACCCCTGTAGAAGCAGTAAGAGGGGACAGTAGAGTATTTTGGTTTTCCTTGCAAGTTGAGGATGCTGCCATTCTTTCACCTCCCCAGGGCTCAAAATGAATAACCAAGAACAAAACCAGCAACCTGTATGTTTTTTCACTCTCTCAGCTACAATGAGAGTTTAATACAGCCTGCTTGAAAGCAGATGTCAGTTTTAACAGAAACAGAAATCCTTTTGATAGGATTAAAACACCTAGCTCACTCCTCGTGGTGAAAAAGCCCTTGCTCAGCTGAAAGAAACGGGATTCACTTTGTTCTGTAGTCTACATCCTAACATGCCACATAGAACACAAGTTTAGCAGCAAGCCTTTCCACTTAACTGAAAATCTCCCCTTTTTTACTTGGTAACATGAGAACAGTCTTCCTCGAACCTACAGATGTCTCAACAGATTTAATATTAAAACAGAGCATCACTTAAACTCAGCCTTGTAATGTTCACACTACTCCCACGGGATATTTACAGCTCGCTTCGATGAAGCAGATTTCAACCCTTCCATAAATATGTAGTATTTGAGTTTGCACTCCTGATTTCCTACTCGTAATGCCACAGATATAGTACAAAAAGTCAAACACCTCCTCGATTTTCCAGGATGAAAATAAACCACTTGCAAGTTAAAAGGTGGACGATTCTTGCCAAGGGGGATGCTGACTTCCCACTCCTCGCTTACGATGTGGCAACAGCTCTTACCGTATGATCCCACATGGGTGCTGGTACAACTACAACATTTAGGAATCCTTCACATGGCCTGGGACCCTACCAGCCACAGCACGCTGTACAAGGATGGCCCACGCCTCAAAGAGCTCAATGAAAAACTACTCGCATTACAAAACAGCCCTACAAACCCCTGGGAAATCCTTCCCCCGATGCCTTTTCCCGTTGTGTGTGCCCAGGTGGCCAAGAAAGCCAACAGCATCCTGGGCCTGTATCAGGAACAGCGTGGCGAGTAGGGCCCAAGAGGTGATTGTCCCCCTGTACTCGGCACTGGTGAGGCCTCACCTTGAATACTGTGTCCAGTTTTGGGCCCCCTACCATAAAAAAGACATTGAGGTGCTGGAGCGGGTCCAGAGAAGGGCGACAAAGATGGTGAGGGGTCTGGAGCAGAAGTCTTATGAGGAGAGGCTGAGGGAGCTGGGGGTGTTCAGCCTGGAGAAGAGGAGGCTGAGGGGAGACCTTATTGCTCTCTACAACTCCCTGAAAGGAGGGTGTAGAGAGGCGGGGGTCGGTCTCTTCTCTCAAGTCACAGGCGACAGGACGAGAGGAAATGGCCTCAAGTTGCGCCAGGGGAGGTTCAGGCTGGATATTAGGAAAAATTTTTTCACTGAAAGGGTTATCAGGCATTGGAATGGGCTGCCCAGGGAGGTGGTTGAGGCACCATCCCTGGAGGTGTTCAAAAGACGGGTTGATGTAGTGCTGGGAGGTATGGTTTAGTGATGATGCTCCTTGTTTGTTGTGTGGGTGACTATTTTTGTCAGTTAGGTTGACGGTTGGACAAGATGATCTTTAAGGTCCCTTCCAACCTAGAAGATTCTGTGATTCTGTGTTGTGCCGTGTGTGTTCCCCAATTAGCCAAACGAAAGTCTGCAACTGCTCCCTGTAAAGTTCTTCTGAAACTGGGGCAGCTCACAGGCTACACACAGCGTTTCATCGCTGCCCACTGCCCAACCTCAAACAGTGCTTGTAAAATACTTACTGTAAACAGTACAAAGTACTTCTGGTTATTCTCTCCTACACAGTTATTGACCCACGGGCAGTGATGGTCCATTTTCCGAATACACCTCTTGCAAACACTGAAAGAGTACAGGTCGTTATTTATAGCACATTTCATTCCAAGGAATACAAGATTTCACAGGGGTTTGGGAGACACAGAAATTAAAGGAAAAAATCAGAGGTGAAATCTGAACCTAGATAAATTTTCTGGGCACCACATCTGTATTTGTGGTTTGCTCACTCTACTATGTCTGTTCAAAATGAAGCATACAATACCAAATCACCATTGTAAACAATTATTGCCAAGTAAGACACATGAGCATAATATTACTATGAGTGGCTCTGCCAAAATATGGTTTGAACAATACATTTGGGCAGATGGAAAAAATCTGATTTAGATTAGTTTTAACCTATTTGGTCTGTGAAAACGTCCACAGACTAAAAACAAACAAAACCCAGAAAGATATGAAGAGCAGTAATGGATAAAGATATCTTTCAGCATTTTTAATAACAGACTAAGGTTTATTTACTAACACTAGCTGGTTGCTACTACTGGTAGCTACTGCCAGTAGCTGGTAACATTAGCTGCAAAAAAGAAAATTAAATAAAGCATTAGAAAATATTCCTGACATCAAGGTAAGCTGCATAAAACAGTTGTGGCAGTCAGTCAGGAAGACAGTACCACAATATACATTCAAGACAAAATTAGATGTTAAAGCACTTCACAAAACCAGACTAATAAAATCAAAATTCAAATTCTTGCCAGCATGCACATTGTGGCTGCAAGTCAAATAATTAAAAGATTATTACTTTGTCTGAACATCATTCTCTTGCTTAGTCAGTAACTGCTTCAACTCGCATAATAAAGGAAGTCTTTTTCTCTGCTGCTTTCTCATATGATGGGAGACGAAAGGCAGTCTCCTGATACCACATTGCACAAACAAGCACAGAAATCAAATATGGAAAAAACACAAAACCCCAAACCAAACAAACAATAGACCCAGAAAGGAAACAGCCATTCCAGAACAATTCTGGCAGCACTGAAACAGAAAGGATCAAGGGCTCTGCTCATTTTACTTCTCTTCTTAAAACAAAAAATATTTCGACCTTAACATAAACAATAAACTTCAACACCCAAATGCTTAAGGGAAGCTCAAGATGAAAACATAAACACGTTCTTATGAGCACATATGAATAAATAATAGAAAACCTCTCCATCAGAACAGCCTACATGGTGGGAGGGGGTGATCCCCAAGGATACGTGCCATGCCTGAAAAATATTTATGAGTTGCTATAGCCCTGATCCCAAAGGGAAGGTCGGTCAGGCAGCCCCCAGCCTCCCAGCGTGGGGCCAGATCAGGAGCTGCTTCTCCTCAGGCAAGGACAGGTACCCTATTACCTGCCAGCCCCAGCTGCAGGGGGAAAACAGGCAAAGCCTCGTTTCTCTAGAATAAGCAGCTTGAAATTAATCTTGAGCTACACGGGGACTAAAATCAGCTGGCACAGTAAAAACAATTTCTCTCCCAGATAACGTTCATACTTTGCATGACAAATATGAATTACTGGTCTAAAAAAAATAAAATAAAATAAAATAAGGGCGTGGGGAGGCAGGGCAGGTGGTGTAAAGCAGGAGGATGCCTCCCTGTGGTTTAATTTACTGCCTGCAGATGCTCACACGCTTCCCCTGGGCTCTGAAACAGGTGAGTACCCAAGAAACCTCTTCAGTGGCTCCTGGCTCCTATTTCCCCCAGAGGGACAACCTGGCACACCCAAGCCAAAGACAACCTCCGTGAAGGAGGTATCAAAGGCTGACAGGGGAGGTTTTATTCCATGTGTATGCACCAAAAGCAGTTGGGCAAGAGGCAGAACAAGCTGGTAGAAAAGGAAACACAGAAACTAAGACTGAAAACTATAGGCAGCAGGGCTTACCCATACTCAGACACTCTCCCCCTGCTCAACCACCCGGCTTCCAAATGCTGGCAGGAGCAGTTTGCTGGGCATGGGGGACTCACAAAATAGTATATGAATCAAAAAGCACCCTGGTGCCTCAGGCACACAGCTAGCAGTACCTCCTGCTCATGCATATGCACAGCCTTGATGTGCAGAAGTCCAATAAATCCCCTTACCCCACAAACAAATGTTTGACTGAAGATTCTCAACAGTATCAGTGCTCAGTGGACCAGTTTCCCAAATCTTAATGTCTAAAAAATTATCTTGAAGTATAGAAAAACAGGACCATGGAAATGAGGTTGTGTGTTTAGCCAAAGAGTCTGTTTCATTTGCCTACGCTGTGAGTCATCAGCAAGACAGCATTTTAGATGCCAAGTTTCATTCATAATTGAAGAGGTGGCAGAGGGGATTCTACAGTAGCATTAATAAGTGATAGGCATGATCACATTGCCCCTGCTGAATAACCAACTCCTGATTTTGATTAAAATAAAAAACCAACGGCAAAAAAAGAAAAACATTTGCAAACTAAAGCTCTGAAAACAAATATGAAAAATGCAAACACCAGAATGAGTTTCAGCTGTTGTTCAGCCCAGTCCCCTGTATTCCCCTCCCCACAAGACCCCTGCATCAATCAGCAGCTGCTGTGATAACAACTTTTCTCAGTATGTTTTGTTTTCTAAGTAAGGAAGGGACACCAGTGTAAACTTATTAACTTATTAGGGGAAAGGAGGTTTACATGCTTTAAAAGCAGAAGAGAATTTCAAGAAGTAGTTTTGGGTTGAGTTTTTTTTTTTTTTTGCTCACTGCCTTTAGTACTAAAAAGCTCACTACCAGTTACTGTTTTCAGGGAAGTTTATCCTACCAAAAAAAGGCCATGACGGATCAGTAGGAATATTGATCTACCACAGAGCACTAAGTCACAGTCCTCAATGAAAACGCGGAAGCTGGAACTCTTTAAAAAAAAATTTAGATCAAAGCACACCCACTAATTGTTGAGGTCTTTGATAAAAGAGCAGTCCTCAGAAAAGACTTTACCTGCAGTGATGTGCTCTGTCAGGTTTGATGCTACAGCACTTTGGGCACTTGTAAACCACCTGTCCTGGCTTTAGCTGTAAACTCTCGATGAACTCCTTTGTGGCGTTACCTTTGGGCACAGCACCCTGCAGGAAAAAAAAAGCAAAGGAACAAACCAAACCAGGAAATTACCCTGCGTACATTACGAATACTAAGAACAATAGGATGACTTAAAACTAGGGGAGGGGAGGGATGAGAAACAAATAAAAACTTCCCTAAGATCACCCGTTTCAGGAAGAGCAAGAAGATTCAGAAAAGAAATTAAAATGAGGTCTTAATATAGAGAACAACATACTTAAACATAATTTACATAATTTTGGTGGCTTTTGTTTTTTTTTTAAACATCAGTAAATCCTCATTAAGCGCTTTTTTAAAATCCCATGGTAACCTTAAAAGACTTAAGAATCCTCATCAGTCTCTGCACATCTATCAACAAATTTATCATGCCAGTGTATTATATCACAAACTGGAAACGGCAGATGTTTCATTCCAGTAGAAGCAGCTACTTCTGAAGTACCATTGTGTGCACTAAGAGTTGCTGGTAACCACCTCATGTATTTATAGCTATGCTTCCATCGTCTATTTGTTATTTAAATTAGGGTTTAACATTCAAACAGTGAACCCTAAGAATCCTCCTCAGTGATTAAGACTAGGTAAAACATTCTTAGCTGTGCAATTCCCACTTTAAAACATGTGTCCTCAAAAAGGCAACGTATTGCTGCTGCAGGAGCCCAAGCTGAAGACTTCCAGCTGTTCTAGGGCCATTAATTTGCTCAAAAAAACCCCCAACAAAGTCATGAAATGTGCTGTATGAAATCCATGCTGCTACACCAGCACAAATGCACCTCTGTGGACGTGAGGCTTTTATACTGAAATAAAAGCAAGGATGTAATATTTTAACAGATTTCTGATGGAACAGTCTCTTTTTAACACATCAGTACAATCTCCCAACAGCAAGAATGGGAATAATACACACCAATGAAAGAACTGCACATTAAACCAGCACTAGAAGGCTTCCCCGCACAGTGTTTGGGTTTTTCCACAGTAACCTCCTAACAGGCCTGGCCAATTTAAAAATAACCAACTTCCACAAAAAGATACAACTGATGGTCTCTCTCTTTAGTATACTGCAAACCTCAAAACCTCAGGAATGTGTTAGCAAGAACCCATAGGAAGCAGTTACTAGAAAGCATGACATTAGCTATCAGTTCTGAAGAGGTCACGTTTTCAGTTATTTATAATAAGAGTTCCTATTTGTTTGCCTCAGAGGTGCTTTCTGTTTCACTTTGGTCCTACATGAGCCCCTTGTTCTCCATATCCCGGCAGCTTCCTTCATCCCTGACTCGAATTGTCTGCCAGATGCTGCTCTATCCCCTCGCTTTATCTTCCCTCCTCCACTTTTTTTAAAAATCTGATATCCTCACAAAAAGCTCTACAAAGAATAAAAAAAAGAATATCCCACTGGCTCTCACCATCCACACACAAAAATGCCACCACACGCTAGGAATTAACATATCTTTTCCCAATTACTCTGCATAGAGATTGTATCTGTTTCTGCAACACTGCTTGCCCAGTCTGCTTCAGAAAACAGCTTTTGTTTCAAAAGAGTTCCTGCTAACTCTGCAAAATAATTTCAGTGAGCTGAAGGTCCCTAGGCAGTGAAGCCATACAACATACAATAATTAACAACAAGAACCCCTACGATATAAACTATATAACAAATTGCTGCAACCTTGTCTTCCTGAGTCCAATGACCAGGAATTTCAGTGCCTCAGCTACTGCTCACGGTTCTTCCCAGCATCGTGCAATGCATCAGTCTTTACCATAAACTGTGAAATTAACTCAAATCAAGCCATTTCTGCAGTGCTGTGGCTTCTGGAAACTAAGAAATAAAGATTACACTGAAGTTCTAATGGCATCTAACAAGGTTTCAAGTAGGAAATGACATTTGGAAGGAATAACTAGAGTATCGGAGGCACACCACCGTTTCCAACAGCAAGAACACCACTCAGGAGGAAGTGGGCAAGAGGAGTCTAAGCTTATTTTTCCTTCCACTGACTAGTGAAGATGGGGTTTTGAACTGAATCTACTGTCCAGAGGTTACTAAAATAAACCATCACAGGTCACTTGGAATAAGCATCATGGTACTAAACTGTATTTCCTTACTAGCTCAAAGATAAAAAAGTAGCAGACTAAATCTCTCATAAAGTCACGTACTATGGAGATGTAAAAGGGGGGTCTTAGAACTCTGATGCGTCCCACCTGCCTAAGAACTGTCAGCTCCCAGCATGCTCACACAGCACTTATTTCAGCATGGGTCAAAAAACTCAACTAAATCACTAGTATGAGAGATGGTAACGTGGCTTTTCAAAACTACACATGCTCTGCTCCACTCTGCTGAAGCAATACTTGCCAAGGCAGACAACCAAAACCAGCTTTTCCAGCTTTCCTGTTTGTCAAGACACAACAAGCCACAAACACGCGATCTGCCATCGGGGAGAAAACAGCATCGGGAAGAAACGGTCTCCTTCCCAGTGTGAAAAGAGGAGCCCTCACTCATCAGTGGGAATATAAAGCTGGGTCCTTGACTTTGCATCTGACTTGAGTGGGATGAGAAATTAGCATACTACATCAGCACAAAAGTTATTTAAATCTGCCACTCACTCGGCGACTAAGTTACCCAACATCTAGCAGACAAGAAAAAACACCGCCTGTTTCTTTCCCAGACACACAGAGAGAGGTATATACTTACTGGATCTGTCAGCATAGCACGAAAATGTGAAGCCAAAGCGAGGAAAGCCAAGGTGTTGAACAGCGTGCCATTGATGACACTATAAACATAATCTCTCGATGGAACTAGCATGACAAGAAGGACTACAAAGTCGGCATAGAACACCAGCATCCAGGTCACGACAGCACATGCAATACCACAGCCATCTCGGATAAACCACATTGTTCCCAGGGAAGCGCGGCTCGGAGGTGGGACACACTTTTCTGGCTGGAGGTATTCAGGTTTCCTTTCAATATCTCTGAAGCGGTGGAGTGGAGTAATCATCATAGGCTTTTATGTCCATACTTGCATCTGAAAGAGAGTCAGAAACAGCGTTGACTGCTTTGGGAGACACGCAGACCTCCGTTCACATAACGGCATGGCGAGCACGTGGGGAAACTCCAAACTGCAGAAAGTGAGTTGAAAAGGCCAAAAAAAAAAAAAAAAAGGAAATAAATCAAACCCAAAAGAAAGGATTTGGAAACCAGACTCTCGCACTTATCAGAACACTTGTAACTCTACTGCCGCAGACTGCACCTACTGTTCAGTAACATACTGCCAACAAAGTAAGTAACAATTCAAAAAGTGAGTTGAAAAAGCCAAAAAAAAAAAAAAAAAGGAAATAAATCAAACCCAAAAGAAAGGATTTGGAAACCAGACTCTCGCACTTATCAGAACACTTGTAACTCAGAAGACTCTCTAAGTGCTTTTAATATTTGCTTTATAAGACATGAAATCCACCGGTGTGCCACCTCCACTCCCCCCAGGGGAAAGACAAAAAGTGTTCTAATGAAGAGAACAGAAGTAGGTGCCAACAGGAGCTGCCATGAAGCAAGAGCTGGACATTATCACATGAGGAAAAATATGAAGACCTGGTACAGCCAGCAGCGTCCCTTTTTGCCACACCAAACTCGGGGAAGGGAAGGGTCTCTCCTGCAGATACTGGGAAGCTTAGTGAGTGGAAGAAGTTTCCTTTCTCCTTCTCCATTGACTCACAGCATTGGGGTAAAACTGCCAAAACCAAACCATTGCGAAGCTATACCGGCAGGAACTGCTGAAGAAGCAGCCTAGGCAAAGATCTCGACAGGAATTTCTAGTCTTGCTTGGAGGATGCTCTTCCCAAACAACAGCTGTACCCCACTCTCAACTCCTCCTTCGGCTTTATGTCCCTCTCAAGTCTTCTACTTTGCCATGCTTCTCCCACCTTTGCTGCATCCCTCAATGGCACTCACTTTGCCTTCCCTTTAGCACTCCTGCCCACGTCCGCTCCATGGCATTAAGGGCACTAACGTGCTGTTTGGTGCCATTGCCCTGTCCCCTCCATCTCTGCAGGCACCTTGCCCATCCAGAAGGTGAGGTCCATCTTGGGAGCCAGAAACTGTACTATTCCAGGTACGCATGGCGCTTACTGTAGCCTCAGCCTAACTCTCACCAAACGTGGGCGTTTGAGAAAACAAAAAAAGGTGCTCGTAAGACTTTGGCAGGGGATCAGTCAACCCGCCCTGTGAGCGTGCACCACACAATGTTAGAGCACACCTGGAATGCTAGGCTTTGAAAGAGGCTCTTCATACACCCAACAACTTCTTCCAAAGATACTTCTTCACAGAGTATTTGCACAATGCGCCAAGTGCTCAAAAACACCTCAACCTCCACACAAAGACCACCTTGTAGGAAAACGGATCCAACAGCGTTACTACCAAATACATTGAATTGCATATACCTGAACAGAAGGTTCAACCTCCTCGTATTTCAAAGCATAAGGATTATTCTCACCGCTTTGCAAAAATCAGAGTGCGTTTTCCTGCTTTAATTCAGAGAAAGGAAGACAACGTTCATCATTAATTGCATTTTCTGCCAAAACTTTATGCTGAAGCTACTTTAGAGTTTAACTGTTAAAAAAGTGATACTGTTGCTTAAGCAAAATGGATGAATTTTACAGAAAAGATAACGAGAGGATCACAAAAGCACATAGGATCTTAAACTTCTCTCAAAAGTTTTATGGCCGCGTTCTGTCAAGTACAAGGGAAAAGCTCTATTTTGCTTAAGGCTGACTTCAACGGAGACACTATTGCAGCACTGCACTAGGAGGAGGCGGTAGGACCAAATTCATAAAGGGCAATTAGTGCTTCCCAGCCAAAGATTAAGGTTATTAATGAGCAGGATCATTAATTACATCCAAGCACAGAAGCTTGTGCATGTTAGTGCAAGCCACAGAAGAGAGAGGTGACTGGAACTGCTACTTGCCATGGTGAGAGGCAAAGGTAGGAGCACAAACTTTCTAGGTGCACAGAGGCAGACAAACCAGGCCATTTACAATACTTGTTTTCTACCATAACCGGTGTAAATAAACTAGGAGAATTAGGTGTTTTCTTATATTTCTGCTTTGAGCATTCAGTATGCTGCCACGTAAGAGCTGAAGATGTTTTACAAATCTGAAGAACGTTGGATTAATGTTAAAGCACATCGGTCTTATATTTATACATACATCACCCAGAGCAATCACGATAATAACGTGTATGTGTGGTGAGGAAAAAAAACGAAACACAACCAAAAAGCCTTCTCTTCATTCACAAAACTCACATACCACATTGTAATTACTTTGTATTTTAACCACACTGTAATTTAGCCCCGTGACTCCTGGTACTTACGGATACAAGCTATATAATTTTCAGAAACAGTGATTGCCCAAACAATCCTGAGGTCTAAATTGAGATAAATCTATACCTACTAGTAAATCCATATCTTTTCCCCAGTTTTCACGATTTCTGTAAGGACGTTTATATATTCAAACATTCACACAGACTTAATAATTATTTTAAAGACTCAGTTCCTCCCCTCCCTCAAGGAAGCAGGTTAACCTTCACTGCATTATTTAATAATCTCATTAAAATTGTTATGTTGCTTTGCCAGCTCAAAATAAAGCTGACATAATTAAACACTCATGCCTGATAACAATGTTTAGTTGACAGTAACATCATATTGCATTGGAAAATAAGAAAGAAAATAGTAATTTAGGTGTTAGATTGTCAAACAGAAGTCTTAGACTTGACGCACCAGCACAATAACAAGCAGGGATACTCCTGAACACAGACTTTCAGGATTTTTTGCCCAGACTCTGAGCCTTTCCCCGCCTTGCCCCCTGAAGTTTTGTTTCCTAAAGTAAAGGAATGAAATGGTGGCAGGAAAAGCAAGCTCCTATTTAACTGAGGAATTAGTTTGACAAGCCACCTTAAGGTCAGTATTAGTAGAGACTGACTGAAAGCTAGACAAATACATAGTGATTAAAACTGTGGGTTTAGTCCTGAACAGCACGTTTCAGCAGTCAAATAAAAATTCATCTCTCTTGTAAATGCAGGAAGTGGTTTCACCCCAGTAAGAGCTCCTCAGCTTGCTCTCAGAAATATTATTGAGCTAAATAGGAAAAAAGAAAAAAAAAAAGCTATTGCTATGGAACTGTTTAAGGGGAAACTGGAAGGAGCCTTGAGGCACCTCAGTCTGAAAATCTGGGGATTCCTCCCCGCAGCGCAGTGAAGAAGCGGTTAAGAGGATACAGCTCAGGTCTCCAATTCTGACTTCTGGCTGGAGGACAAATTTGTTATTTAATGCTTGCTTTACAGGCATCTTCAGGGACAAAAATGAAAAAAATCAGTAAACAGTACATAAACAGCACTCATTATTTGAGGAATACACGTGTCCTAACGGACATTAGCTTAGAATCAAGTTACACGAGCTTGAAACCTCAGCTTCTTTTCTACATGACCTGTTTTTTGTGTTTGTTTGTTTTTCTTTTTTTTTAATTCCTTGTTTGTACATACAGAAACATCTGTTTTTGTTTATGTTGTCCAACCCGGTATTTTCATATAAACAATACCCCCCCAAAAAAAGACTGTAGAGGAGAAGAAGCAGAAACATGCCCTGACTGGCCTGCCCTTGAATCATGCTCCATATGAACTTAATTTGTAACACACAGATGGAATATGTCAGTCCCTCCTGCTCTGGAGCAAACAATATATAAACAGTGAAGGCAAAGGGTTTAAGGACTTAATCAGGGCGTCAGGCTACAAGAGAGGCCACTAGGTGAGTGTGAGACACAATGACAGCACACCAGTCAATTTAGGTTAACTACGCATCAGAGCAAAGACCTTTTCTTCTTTTTTATCTGGAAGGCATTTGGCATTACAGGAATAATCAAAAAGCCATGTAATACACGCATTAGAAATTCAAATAAAACAAATTAAAATCCACTTCCTGCTACAATGAACACCTAAAGTATGCTATTACGTCCTATAAAAATGAAGTAACTGTCTTTTGACCTGAAGTAAGCCATGTCAAAAACCTATTTTTTCCACGGCCCGTGACTGCTGATGGATGCACTAAGAGTGAACTAACAGATGATGGGGGCCTTCACCCACTGCGTACCTGAAAGACACTGAGGTTCTGAAGTTATGAAACTTACACCAAACTTAATGCCATCAGCATTGCCATCCAGCTGATTTTCACGTAATTACTCATGCTGGCGAAGTCAAGCACATGGGTATGACTTGCAAAACTAGAGTATTACTATGTACGTTGCAATCATTTCCTCTGTTAGAAGTCCATAAACATTAACCTTTGGGAAGAAGTTACATTTTGTCACATGGACTATGTGTATTTCAAGTTCTGCCAACTAGATGATCCCGCTGGCATGTGTTTCACTTAGAGATCACTCGTTAACGTCCTTCTTAATTAGTGCTCCGGAGGGGTCCGCTCCCCCGGGGAACAGGGTAGGGGTAGAGACATCCCCCCCGCTCCGACGGGGAGCCGGGACGGTGCCCGGTTCGGAGCACGATGGAGGATTTTCATATATTTTCACTGAGCTGTACAATACTGTAAATGACAGCTTAAAAAAATTCTAAAAAAAAAAAAAAAAAAAAGAATGAGACCAAAGCAGATCATGTGCGTTTTCTGATGTTTTCAGTTTGGGTTTGTATACACTCTGAAGAGGTATTTTGGAATGGCTTTTATGACACACACAGAACCAACATTCCTTGAAAGTATTTTGAGAGCTGACAAGCTAAAAAGTTAATGCTAGTAAGTTAACTTTATCACCATTAAAACAAAACAAACGTACATAACCAGCCATGTTATACTCATGACAGCTAAACTAGGTGATCTAGATCCACAGGACAGGATGTCCCTTTAAATAAAACCTACAAACCCCAAATAGGTAGACAGATAGATTGAAACTGCAAGAGAGTTCATTTTGAAGTTTATTTCATTTTTTCTGCGCATTGATTAAACATTACATATTTAATCTTCCTTTGCAGCAGAAA